GTCCAGCAGCAGGTAATAACACGTAGATTTTCAGGTTTGGGGAAATGCTTCCAGCTATTTCAGCAGCAGGTAATATGATTCAGCCCCTCCAGTGTCCAGCCCAGCTCTGTGCTCTCCCAGAATATAGAAGCCCATCAACCTTTTGATGAACTTCTTGCATTTAGGACCTGCTGGAACTAGCCCCCAGCACATGGATTCAAAGGGCACACCTCTTCTTTTGGGGGTGATGAAAATAATTTGGAACGAAGTAGAGGCAATGTACGGAATCCCACTGAATAGTACACATTTGCCCCTTCTGATGATCTTATGTGTATTGTTGACACTATGACAGAAGTTCCCCCTCCCCCCCTCCCCTGCCTTTGCCTTTCCTGATGGCCCAGCTCTGCCAGGGGCCTGCCTGGGGCTGCAGCCCCCACAGCCATCCCTGGGCTGGGAGCTGAGGAGTCTCAGGCCTTTCCTTCCAGGTCCTGACTCTCCTCTGTCGTCTCCTCCCTGGGAAGTCACAATGATGTGCCTCAGAGTTGGAGGGGAGGGAGGCTATGGGACCACCTTCCCTAATCAGAGTGTCTGTGTTCTGTGCCCTAAATGGACCCATTAATTCATCAGGGTCTTGAAGGAAATCCAGGCACCAGCCCAGACCCTTCTGGTTCTTTTAAAGTCAACCTTCCCAGATGCCCTATGTAGCTATTTATCTAATTAACTATGTATCTACCTGCATATGTAACTATGTATCTAAATAGCGATATATTTATATAACAACTGGAGGCCTGGTGCACAAATTTTATGCATGGGTGGGGAGTCCCTCAGCACGCCTGCAGCATCTCCAATCTGGGACCCCTTGAGGGCAGTCGGATGCCTCCTAACCGCTCCCATGCCTGCCTGTTTGATCGCCCCTAAGCACTCTGCCTTCCTGCCTGGTCGCCCCTAAGTACCTCTGCTTGCTGGCCCAATTGCCGCCTAACTGGTCCCCTAATGGCTAGGTCTCCCTGAACTACCACTCATCTGGCCTGGTCACCCCCTAATTGTCCAGAAGAATGTTGGACTTCCAGAAGATGTCTGGTCGACGTGGTCTAATTAACATATTAATCTTTTATTAATATAGATTTTTGTATCTATCTATATATCTACTCAACTCTCTGTATTTATATACTTACTAGAGGCCTGGTGCACAAAAATTTATGCACTTGGAAGGGTCCCTTAGCCTGGCCTGTGTCCTCTCACAGTCTGGGACCTCTCGGGGAATGACCACCTGCTGGCTTAGGCCTGCTCCTCAAGAGACTGGGCCTAAGCTGGCAGTCAGACAACCCTCTTGCAGCCAGGGAGCCCTCAGGGGATGTCCACTTGCCAGCAGGAAACAGGCCTAACTGCAGTTGGACATCCTTAGCACTGCTGAGGAGGCTTCAGAGGCTCCCACCACCACCGCTGTACTGGCAGCCATCAGCCTGGCTTGTGGCTGAGCAGAGCTCCCCCCCTTCAGAGTAGGGGTCCCCTCTGGGGTGCCTGGCCAGCTTGGGTGAGTGACTGATGGCTGTTTGCAGGCTGGCCACAGCTTCTTCAGTGTGGGGGTCTCCTCTGGGGTGCCTGGCCAGCCTGGGTGAGGGGCTGAGGGCCATTTTCTGGCTGGGCACACCCCCTTATGGGAGGGCGTCCCACTGGGGTGCCTGGCCAGCCTTGGTAAGTGGCTAATGACTGTTTTCAGGCTGGTCACAGCCCCTTCAGTGTGGGGGTAACTGTTAGGATGCCTGGCCAGCCTGGGTGAGGGGCTGATGGCTGTTTGCAGGCTGGCCACAACACCCAGCCACCCAAGCTCCCAGTGGAGGCTGGCTAGAAGCAGGTATCTGGGATTTATTTAGCTTCTATAATTGAAGTTTTGTTGCCTTTTGCAGAGGACACAGCTGGCCACAGGAGGTGGGAAGCTTGGCTTCCTCCATCAGTCGGGGCAACCAAGCCTCTGGCTTACTCCAGCTCCGTGGCTGCCGGTCGCCATCTTGGTTGGGTTAATTTGCATATAGTCGCTCTGATTGGCTGGTGGGTGTGACTTGGGGCATAGTGAGGGTACGGTCAATTAGCATCTTTGTCTTTTATTAGTGTAGATGTATCTGACAATGTGTATATCTATCTATGCACCCAGTATGGGTTTATGGAACTAAGTAACTTTGTAACTATCTCTATTTCCATGTGTGCATCTATGTATTTATCTATGTAACTATCAATTTGTGTATCTGTATAACAACTTATACATCTATGTATCTGACTATCCAGTTATCTAGGATCTATCTAAGATATCTATCTCTATCTCTATCTCTATCTCTATCTACATCTACATCTACATCTATATCTATATCTACATCTATATCTATCTATCTATCACTGGTGAATTAATACAATGTAGATTTCATCTGGTCAGATGTTGAGCCTGGTAAGGACATATATCTCTATAAATTGGTGTGAGAACAAATTAGAAATTTAATTTTTCATAGAGTTTCACCAAGGCCTCTCTGGACCCAAAAAGGGGAAACTAGACGGGGTGTTAGAAGCACCCGCCTCCCTTCATGAGAAACCACGGAAATGAGGCACATGACTCGGCCCTTGTGTGCCCGTCCTGCACTTTCTGACCTTCGGGACCCTGTCCTCCCTCACCCAGACAGACTCAGCTTCCTCCCTGTGGACAAGGACAGAGGAGAGTGGGAGAG